TCTTCTAGTGGCCACGGCAGAGACTCGATGAGCTCCGCCGTATCCACGTCATTCAGTGGCTTCTTTTCACTCACTTCTACAGGGTGTTCTACCTTAAATCTGCATGCAGGAAGGGGACCTGAGGCTTCACACAAGCGGGCTGCCCCTTAGCAATGCAGCGGGCCCTGACCCAGTCTCCACTGCAGCAGAGAAACAGTGAGAAAGGGCCCTCTCCACAGCCACGTCGAATGCTTCTCAGGGATGTGGGCGCCATCTCAAGTAACCATGTGCAGCACTGAAGACGACAGAGATGGATTCAAATCCTGTGTCTACAACTTCTTAGCTGTCTATCCTAGCGCCCAGGTTTCTCTGCTGTACAACAGAGGATAACAGCAGCACCCACCCTGGAGCTCTCAGGGGAGGCCCCATGGGAGGCACTCAGCACTGAGCCTGGTACAGGCAAGCACTTGATAAACACACATTGCTCCCGCCATCACCACCAACGCCACCACCATCACCGTGCTTACAGGGGAGAAACCTGGGTCCTACAACCTGGCAGGGTCCTGAGAAGCCCCTGCTCACTCCAGCACCTACTCTCCAAAGTGAGGCCTTTATTTCCAGCAAAGCAGAGAACCTGGACGTCACAGCCCCACATGTCCCTGCACAAGGTTCCCAGTCCTGGTGCTTCAGCACTCCTCAGAGCACGTCAGCCCCTTACCCATCAGACCCTGGAAGACAACAGTGTGGCCGTGGTCTGAGCTACAAGGCAAGGCAGCCTCCCCCATGGCCTGGCCCTCAGAGTCCCCTGGCTCTACCAACGGCAGGGCTGTGAGCAGTGCACGGGGTGTGTGGGTCCCAGAGACCCCAGGTTGCTCATGAGGGCCCAGCAAGGGCAGATGGGCTGCACACCAGCATCATATGAGCACTGTATGGAGAACAGGACACACCCGGATCTGCCCCCAAATCCTGAATGCTCATGTGTCCTAGGCACGCAACCACAACGAAGAGTATGAGCCTTAAGGAACCGAAACCGAAGCCAGGGCAGCAACAAAGGAAAGAAGCTTCCCTGTGCTGTAAGTAGACTCTTGTCCAGAGGCACTGACAGGCCGGTTCACACCAGTGATCAATGGGGCCCCTGGTGCTGCCCAAGGATGGCGACCAAAGAGAAACACACAGAGAGAACTTGGCCCGACAGCTTATGACCCCTCCACCGGAAGGGCATGCCGACACTCAGCTGCCCTGAAGATGCCCTACAAGCTGCCAACCAGAACTCTGCCCGACCCCTGGCTCCACGAGGGCAGAGGACTCGCCATATCACACCATCACATCATCCGGCGATCCCTGGGTCCTACTGGATGCCAGGTGCTTTATCACCACCTCACTTCATCCACAAAATGCCCTACAAGACACTAGCCCCATTCTGACATACGAAAAAGTTACAGAAATGTACTTAAAGCAACCAAGTCCATCACTACCTGCTGGAAGGAGGAGACACCACTGCCTCCTGCAATTTGGAGGGCTTAGGAAAGTTCATGCCTCTGAAAGCCCCAGCCCCAGTTTGAGGATGAGGCACAGGCCCAGCACCAGGCTCCCAGCCCACTGTCAGAAGGCACAAACATTAAGGAAGGTAAAAATCCCAGCCAAACAAATGGTAGAGTGTAGAACCAGGACTCTCCAGTAACAAGGTAGGGAAACACTCTCCTCTGCTCCAGGCACACAGCTGGAAGTATGTCATCTTATCTCCCCAGTGAGGCAGGTGATGGCTTGTCCACTCAGCTTCTGTGCATGCGGGACACTTTTTCCTTCGCCTTGTTTCCCACAAAGTTTGTACGAGACCCTCCCTTGGCTGCTACCCCTCGTTCAGTACATGGTAGGGAAGAGGGTCAGATTCTGTCCTGAGATGAACTGGAACGCAATGATGGCCGTAATGATGGAGAGAGGCCGATGCAAACCTAAGCTAAGGCAGCAACAGTGCGACTTCAGTGGAGGAGACAGACGCCAATAAGACACGCTTGGGAGACAAAAACCACAGCACCTGCTCTCAGGCATGGGCTTTGTGGGGTGCTGGAACAGGAATGCCCTGTGAACTCGCAGGACTCATCCCCCACCTACCTGGGCACTAGCTGCACCGCTTGTTCTCACCTCTTGCCAAGGTGCCTCTTCCCATCTAACCTGAATTTCTGCTTAACTGCCTTTAAAGAAGTGCGGAAATGAAGTCAGTTGTTCCAACCTCACAAGGTCTCCCAGCCCTCCACAAAGAAGGTCACTATCAACGGCGTTGTCATTTTGCTGCCTGTGACAACAGCAGCTGCCCACACCCCTGCCAGCTCGAATGACACTGTACACACATCTCCTCTCTGTTCTGGTCAGCAAGGGCCTCAAGGGCCCAGGATCCCAGCTCCCCGCCACCTCCCCATAGGGGCTTACACATAAATCTATTATAGATGAATGAGGCAGGAACTGCCCAACAGCTCCTTATTGTCTGACGCCTCAAGAACATTCCTGGACTTCTCTGCGCCCATTCTCTCATCTGGAAGAGGGAGACCACAGTAACGGTCTCCTCCATGGGGTGCTGTGAGACGAAATGAGACAATGCATGTAAGCACTGAGCTCGATGCCTGCAGGCACCCGTCCCACAGCAGAGGGGAAGACAGAGCTCTTTCGTGGGTGCTCGAGACTCACCCTTGTTCCGAGAGGTGGCTGCATCAGCTCTCAGAAGGAACCCAAGGGTCCTGAGAGGTGGACGATTGCCATTAGTCACGCAGACCACCTGCCCACCGCAGAGGGCTTCTCCCTGAGGCAGAGTCCATTCCTCAGCCAATCCCGAAAAAGAGATGAGATGGCTGAAGCCACATTTATGACTACAAGAAAAGCCGCCATCGGGCACCTGCAGATGGGAGTTATTTCTTCCTCATGGTTCTCCGGATATGGGGGCTGATCTTCCTGCTGCTGGTCAAAGCAGGTAATTTTACAAAGAACCTCACAGTTTGGCGGGAGAAAAATGCAAACAAGTTCCCTTTTCCGTAATAGTTCATTCTGTTTCATATTCAAAGTAAAATGAAGAGGATTGCCTGGAAAAATGTTAAAGCTTTAATTTCAATCACTTTTAATGCCCGTTTCATCTAACAGTAGCTCTGAAAGCAAAAGGCAATCTTTATCATTTGAGGTTTTTAAACTAAATTGATGTGATTATGTCCAACATTACCAGATGCTTTTAAAAGCCAATTTTCAAAGCAACATCAGCCCCCAAAATAAGAAAACCTTCCTTCTGGCTACTAATAAATTATTAAAATGGTATCTCCACAAGTGGATGAGGCTGTGGCAGATAATCAATGGCCAACAGGCTGGCTCCTCACAGACCCGTCCAAACCACCAATCGGTCAGTTCATGCGGGGCACCCAAGGGCTCCCATTGTGGTCACCTGCCTCTCAGCCTGTCCCTGAGCCCCTTGCTCACTGGAAGAGCCCGACCTCACTCAGCTGTCCAGCTTCCTCAAGTGGGAACTGGACTAGTTGAAGCTCGTCATGGAATCCCATCCTCTGTGGGTAACTCGTCTGAAACAGGCATCTGACCCCATTTGGGCCACCAAGGCCTGAGAGGGAATCTGCTGGCAGTGGGGGACCCACAAAAGGTTTCCTTGTTCCAAAAAGGAGACCCAAGAAAGAGGCCCCTCCTTTCTGCCTGTGGATGTGACACCCAGAACTTGGGCAGCCCCCCTGCCTGGGCACCAGAGAATGGCGATGACAGCCTCCTCGAAGAGCCCAGGTGTAGTTTCATAAGAAATAAATATTTGGTCTGTGTCCCCATTCTTGGCACAGACCTCCTAACCCTTGGGATTTCCAAGGTGAGAGGAGCATCTTTCGTTATTCATAACAAGCCCTGAGTTGATGCTAATGAGGTGACTCCTGGGGGCCCCCGACAGCTCCAGATGGGGGCTGGACACCAGAAGAACCAAAAGGAGAGGGCTGGAACTTCCAGCTCCACCCCCATCTCCAGGGAAGGGAGAGGGGCTAGGGATTGAGTTATTCACCAACAGGCAATGACTTACTCTAGCGTGGAAACTCCGTAAAAACCCCTGAACCACTGGGCTCAGAGAGCTTCCCAGTGGGTGGGGTGCCCAGAGAGGGCATGGAAGCTCTGCACCACCCCATATCTCACCCATGCATCTCTTCCATCTAGCCATTCTGACTGCACCCTTTATAATAAACCAGTAACCATAAGTAAAGCGCTTTCCTGAGTTCTGTGCATCGTTCTAGCCAATTATTGAACCTGGTGGGGGTGATGGAAGGAAACCTCTGAATTTGTAGTCAGACAGAAATGGGGAGGGCAGCCTTGTGGGACTGAGCCCTTCACTTGTGGGATCTTTGCCGACTCTGGGAGTTGGTGTCAGAATGGAACTGAACTGTTGGACACCCAGCTGGTGTCAGAGAGCTGGAGAAGCAGTGTTGGAACACATACCACGCGTTTGGCATCAAGAGGAAAAACCTAACACCAGGCCCTGGAAGGAGCCACGCAGCTGGACTTCCTGCCGGGGAAGGAAACACATTCCCTCCCTGCTAAATCGGGGGGTAAGGTTTTCCTGTTATTTGTAGCAAAGGCGTCCTGGCTGCTCTGTTACTCTCTGTAGACCTTGCCTGAGTGCACAAGCCTATACACACAAACATCAGACACTTTTCCCCGGGGTCCAGGTTTCCACACCATCAAGGGTTCACTGGGAGCCCACGCCACAGCAAAGATGAAAAATCCTTTCTCACAGACCCACACAGCAGGAAGCTAGCCGACCAGGGATCCAGCGGTGATCTGGCACACCGTTGGGATGACAGCATCATGCCGCCTCAGCTGAGTCTCACTGCCACACGACAGGAACGTGGGGCACCCTGCAGCCCTAGCACCTGCCCACTCAGGCTAAGGCCGACAGAACAGCGAAGCACAGCTGTTCCCAAGCCAGGGGCACACACTCACCGGCCCCCAGCTTTCCAAAACAGAGTTGTCCCTGTGAACACACAGGCCGCCAGGCCTACCTGCTGGTGATGGAGTTGTTCCTGTCCTTCAGGGCAAGCTCTCGCTGCTGCAGCTCAACAATGAATCTGGAAAGGTCTTCAGGGGTCCTGTGGGATCAAGAACACACACTCAGCATCAGTTGTTTCCTGGAGGGGGACCTGGTTCTGCACACTAGATGGCCGCCAAAAGCCATGCCAGCAGCTGCTGATTCACAGACCCGGGATAAGTCAAGTCCTGTGCCCTGTTCCCAGGGCCGTATCTGCGGCACCATGCACTCACCACCTCCTGGGTTCAACCCTCAGCCCACCCCTAAGCTATGGCAGAACGAGAAAGTTATTTTTATAAGCCTTGATTTTATTTCACCTGTGGAAATAGGGTCAATACGTAACAAACAGTGTCACTATGCAGAGGACATGAAACGTTTAAAAAGCACCTACCAAGTCCCTGGCTCAGACGAGGTGCTCCGTACACTTCAGTTTCCTTTCCTCCCTTCTCCTTCCAACCCACACGTAACAGCAGCAGCAATAATAACAGTGAGAATAACAGATGCCCATAGGTACAATGGTGCTTTATAATTTTCAAAACTATTCCAGATTAATTACCTCAGTTAATGCTCAGAGCAACCCTGTGGTTTATTGTTTCCACTTTACAAATGAGAAAACTGAGACTCAAATGGCTGGTTCACAGGCCACTCTGCTTTGAACAGCACTGAACCTCAATCTGAACCCCATCCTCTAACTCAGCACCGTATCTTAGGAGAACACACACCAAGAATGTCTCTGAGAGACTGAAAGAAATATTCAGTGGGGTGTGCACACTCCCCAACACACACATACGGCATGCACGCTGAATGCTCCCTGCATGAAGGGGCCAAGAGGTGGGTGAGCTCAAGGCCTGAGGACTAAGCACAGAGCCGCATGGGGCACTATATGAGGCCCGCAGCCTCACCCTACTCCCATTTAGGGAACAACCACTCCATCACAGTGGTCAGAGGTCCACCTTCCGTCCACTAGCCCAGGGGGCCGTGACCCAAGCTACACCAACCAGATGCACACTCTGTGGAACAAGAGTCCTACGTAAAGCTACAAAGCAGGTGGGTCCTGGTCACCGTGGTGCTCGAAGGTCCTCTTCCTGGCCTCCAAAGTCACCACAGTGCTGGCTTCCAGGGGTGCTCTCAGGCCTCAGGTGCATCCTGGGAGCACCACCCCACACCCAGCAATAAACCTCTTCTACTGAAGTCAGCAGTGGGCACCTGGAGGCACATTTTAACCAAGGACCCCGCAAAGAAACCTGCTTAAAACCCAACCTCAAGTCCACGCTCCACAAACCCTGCAGGAGCAGACCCCTGCAGCCTCTCTGCCTCCCGCTGGCCTTCCCTCCACCCCATTTGCTCCCCAAAACTCTGTGTCAGGCAACCCTGTGCTTGCAAAGCTCTTCCCTTGGTTTTCCCAGGGCTAGCTCTTCTCAAAAGAGAGGGCTTAGGAAAAACATCCCTTCCTTGAAGAGGATTTCTCCATCAAGCCCCCAAGACACTCCCTACCCCATCACGGCACTGCCGAGGCCCACCTCGCTGGTGATTAGTATAGGGGTCTCAGCGTCTGCCATCACTAGAAGGTGAGCTCCCATGACCTCTGGCTCATTGGCAGTACGTCCTGAGAGCCCAGCACAGCCCAGAGACAGAGCAGGGCCCCGCATAACTCCTCACACCTGGGCCTCTGCCGTCACACTCTTCCGTCGGGTAAGTCCGTGCTCTCTCCCTTTCAGATCACCACACAGAGGCCTTCCCTGACCACCAAGGAAAGGCCCCTCTACTGGACATCTGTGAGGATGTGGCCTCAGTGTGGAAGGAACCGGGAGGCACCGTGCAGAGATTTCCACCCACACTCCTCCCTAAATACAAGCGGGCTCTGCGGATGAGAAAATGGTTCCGTTGAAAAGATGCTTCTCAGTAAAAGGCCTCTGAGAAGCTGACATCTGGGAAGTGTGAGCCAGCCTTCAGCACCACTTCCCACTCTTCTCAGAGCTTCCTGCGGCTTTCCAACCTCAGGGAGTGAAAAATACCAGTAGGAAGATAAGTAAGCAAAATAAACAAATCCTTTGGAGCCAAGAGAGATTGTTTTCTGTAACGTTGTAAAGAGATACTTAAGCTGTTTTGTATTTTTCTGTTACTTAGTCAAAGGGGTATGCAAACTGTTACTAATCAATGAGAAGATGTCTTTAAAACAATAAACAAAACATCTTGCATGTCCACATGTGCAAGGTCCTCCAGCCCCCGTGGGCCAGCACCAGCCGACGCCATGTGGGAGAAGCAGACGGATGCTGCAGAGGGTGAGAGAGGAAGCACGACCCTGACCGCCCTCTTCCTCACTTCCCTGCCGGGCTGGGCCGTGTCCACTCAGACCTGAAACAGTGGGAAGGGCCCATGGAGAGGCAGCTGCCAGGCAGACAGCCACCAAGTCGCGGGGGGTTCATCTAACTGAGATGCGGCTCTCTCTCAACAAGGGCAAGTTGCCCACAATACCCTCCAAGTAGAAGCCTTCCTGGAATCTGGAGAGCAATCAGCTTGTGACACCAATTTAAAAACAAGACTCTTGCCCTGAGGTACAAATCAGCCCCACAAAGCCCGAGAGCCAGACTCACTGTTAGCCAAGGCTCTCCAACCTCCTTTGAAGTGAAGATAATTTGAAATATAACAATTTAATAATGAGAAAATTGGGAACAGTTCAAATGAAGAGAAAAATGAACTTATTATGCTATCCTTCTGAAATGCTCTACTCCCACTGATGCCTCGGGGCATCGGCATCTTCTTGTGACACCTGCCCAGACCAATGCACACATAAGGTGCCACAGGGCCGCCCACAGCACACGTGCCACACCCAGGATGGCCTGAGTCTCATACATCCTTCCGTTTAACGCTTCACAGAGGCCATCAGACACTCGAACAGTTTGGAACTTTTCAGCAGCCATTTCAACTTAGCATCAAGGGCCTGGCTCCATGTTCGCATAAACCAAGCAGGAACTGTCTTGCCTACATTCTCCTATACTCCTCCTTTCCCACGAAAGAAGACCAGCCATGCAAACACATGTCCACATACCTGAGGAGCAAGACCTCAAGGCATGTGCCCTCTGAGTTTGTGCCACCCCTTCCGGAGAGGGTGGAGAGAGCTGCTTTCCCTGAGACAGAAGGGGGTGGGACAGCTGGGGTGGGTCACCCCCACACAACCAAAGAGCAAGTCTACACGCCTTTGGACGGCCACAGCAAGTCTGGCTCGCACACCACTGAAGGCGAGCTCTCCAGCTGGCTGGTTCACAGCCACACCCTGGACCCAGATCCCATGTGCCATCTTTCAGATACACCACCCTCTCTGGCAGAGTGAGGACTCGAAGCTGTACAGCTTGCCTTTCTTGTGGGCCCAATTCCAGAAGGCTAAACTGCACAAGCCAGGACGCCCACTTCCATTCTCACTTCAGTCCTGTCCCAGCAGCTGCTGGAGGGCACACAGCAACTGGACAACCTTTCCCCTCATGGCCTCTTGGGCTGAAAAACCTGAGGCAACTACTTCGGCTGAATCAAGACTCAGGTGTCCAGTCATTCTTGCTAGCCATGATGTTTCAACTTCTCCTAAAAAACACAAAGCCCAGTAAGCTAGATGACAACACTCAAGAATTTCACATCAGACCAGTTTATTCCACCCACAGAGAAGAGAAAGGGCAGGAAATCTTCAAAGGAAAAACAGACGAACTAACTGCAGAAGACTGGAGTCAAGTCACAGCTCAGACAGCTCCAGGCTGACCCGCCAGCTCGACGAGGCTTCCTTACGCTCATTTCCACAACCCCAGACCTAGGTGCAGCGCAGCACTGCCACCTGACGACCCCTTGCACACCCATTCATTTCACGGAGCAGAAAAAGACAGATATCCAGGTACACAACTCAATCCCGTTTTCACACTGAGAATGGGAAACAAGGACAAAACATAGGTGACAGTGAAACTGATGTAAATGAGGAACACAAGTGTCAATGAGAAATAATTATTAATCAATACACTGCATGGCGTGGAATTCTGTTCACCCTTAGTGCTGCAGTGTTGACCAGAAAGAAAACATTCTGTTGGAGGAGTGAAGTACATGAGCTTTAGTTAGAATGGTTTCAGAATGTCCCACATGAGAAAAAGACAAGACAGTACAGTGGTTTTTGCCAAGTGTGGACACTCCTGAGGCCACAAGAGGGGGTGAGCCAAGGGTGCGGTGGAGTTTGATCAAGCGGGGTGGGGGCCTGGCAGTCCCTGCACCTCTGCGGACATTAACAGCATTATCATGCCTGCAAAGGAAGTGGGCGAGTACTGGGGACCACAGGACTCACACGTTAACCTGGTCCCCCTAGGGCACGGATGAGGAGGAATTCAGGAGGTGTCTGGCCCACCAGCGGACTCGACCACAGGTGGACGCGCATGTCCCCAAGGCCCCGGCCAGTCAGCACCTCGGGGCCTCCACGCCGGGAGGAAACCCAGGTGCTGGGAGATGGAAGAGCTTACTCGTCTGGTGCGGTGGTTCCCGTGACCTGGCAAGTCAAGTTGCTGTCCTGCCCCAACGGCCCAAGGATGGCCGGGCCGCCCAGGAGGACGAGGTAAGAAAAGCCACCAAAGTGGGAATCCACACCTGTCGACCAGCAACTGTACTTCCAGGAACACACCTCAAGGAAGCGACCAGGGACGAGCGCCACAGATGGCTAAGGAGGCATCGTGGCACTGTTTGCTTTTAATGGTGGTAAAATACATGTAACATAAAATTTACCATCTTAATCATTTTTAAGTGTCCAATTCAGCAGCATTAAACACATTCACATTGTTGTGCAGCCATCACCACCACCCATCTCCAGGACTTTTTCATCTTCCCAAACTGAAACTCTGTCCCCATTAAACACTCACTCCTCATTCCCCTCTCCCAGCCCCTGGCACCCACCCTTCTACTTTCTGTCTCTCTGAATCTGGCTCCTGTAGGGACCTCATATAAGTGGAATCATCTAGTATTTGTCTTTTTGTGACTGGCTTATTTCACCGAGCATAATGCCCTCAAGGTTCACCCATGTGTGGTATGTGTCAGAATCTC